CCCCCCCCCCAATTCATCAGACTGCACAACAATCGGTACCAATGCCCATCACGATGTTTGCGGCTGTCGTCCTGTTTAGGTACCCCGGGAGAGTGTTATTGCGGGATCGCTATGCAGAGATGTCACTGGACGGGTGGGACACTACCACCGGAGGGATCATCTTGCCGGCAGGGGGTGACGGAGGAAGGGGGGGGTGCGAGGAGGGGGGCACCGCAGATGCGACGAGTTCGAGCACGACGGCGATCACCGCGGCGGTGCAGCTGGTGGAGAGCTCTTTGCCGGGGGGGGATATGCTCGACCTGACCACTACGTCTGGTGACAGAACGGTAAAACCGGTCTTCCTCGAGAGCAGATGATTCACGTTTTTGCTTGACCATGACGCGGTTTGGGGGGGCGGTGAATCACTTGTTTTTTTTTGGGAGGGGAAGGGGGGATGGTGTTCCGGTCAAGTTGTACTACAATGATCCCTGCCGGAAACGATAATTGTTGTCCCTGACCCCGTCAAAGGGAGTAGATGTGCGCCGCCTTGTTGTTGTTTTGGTCTTTCGGCCCCCCCTGCGTCGCTTGAATCTAAGGAAAGAAACCAAGGATGAGGAGGGTCTAGAAGTGTACGGAATGTTGAAGGAATAGGGTTCAAGGATTACCTACATGGACCAATGTATGCAGGAACAAAGCTTAAGGTCGAATTCAGGACCGGGGACATAGGCCTTCGAGAACGTCGACGAAGACATAGGACGGTAGACAACGAAGACGACGAGTTCAAATGTGATTGCGGCTTCGAATGCGAAGACCATGTTCATGTAGTCGCGGAATGTCCGTGGTACAGGAAGGAGAGGTAAGTGTACGTGACTGAGCTGGGAAAAATAGATGGGACGTACAGGGAGATGTTTGAGGCATGGATAGAGAGGAAAGGACGGTAGCTGTAGTGGGGCATAGGAGGTGGGTTGAAAAGGCGGGAAGGGATATCGTTAGGATAGACAGACAGGGAAGACATTTTTGACCCACCTTTGGCAAAGTAGGAAGGAACGATTGGCCATCGGTGATCGGTCCTGTGGGAACAATGTTCCGTCCTCTCGAGGACACGTGGTCAATGGTCTAACCGCTAAGGCATGCAAAACATGAGAGTTAGCCCCCCTCCCGCCCCTTCGTCGCTTGTGTTGCCTAGAACAGAGCGCGACGGCTTTGCTAGAATCGTTGGTGGAATTCTCCATTCTTGCGTTTCCAAGTTTACTCTCACGATACGACCCTGGTGTTTTGCCGAGCACCTCTGTATCTGTCTAGTGCTGGCTCCGGCTGGACATGGACAAGAGGCGGCTTTTCGCCGGTTGCAGGGCTGCACGCGAACATGTATTCGTGGGGCCCGAAACGTTGAACTCTGAGCCCGATCGATATTTGTGCCACGCACACCAGAATCCCTCTCGTGTGTGTTGCATGTTGCCCGTTCTCTCGTTTTTCCCTTCCTGGGCAGTCCTCCTTGCTGGCCGTGCTGGGGCTTCGGGTGATCGTTGAGCAGGTGCTCTGCGAGGTGAGCTACACCCACCCACCCACCCCGGGTTGAGACTTGCCGTCGTGGCCTAAAAATGGCCTGGACTTCACTTTGGCCTGGCGAGCCTGCCTGCTTGCTTTCGCTCAAACCGAAGTCAAGCGACCAAACTTATTCGCTTCATGTTGGAAGGACGGGAGGTTTGTCGTCTGTCACTCGGCTGGCAAAGAAACATGTTGGGACCAGTGAACGTGTCGCCGTACATGGGCTCCCTGCAGCGGTGCCAATACCCCGTGGAAGAATGGCTTGATGACGATACAGTAGTGGCGTAGAATGGGTGAATGTCCTCCTTTTGTCCAGGTCTACATATAGGTAGCGACGGTGGCAGGCTGCATATCAGCGACCGTCGACGAGCGTAGCTCTATCGGTGGTGTCGATACTGCGGCGACTTAATGTGACGTGATCCGCGAAAGATTCAGGAACATCTTACCTTCCTCCATGCAACTAGAAGCGCACGCTGTATTAGCTGAGTCGTGGTAACACCCGGCTTTGCAGCATACCGAGATCGAACAGGCCAGATCCTATCGCCGCTCAACGAAAATCAGCAGTCAGCAGTGCCAGCACTCACTGCTGTTGTTGTTGATGCCGCGAACTGCTGACGAAAGGAAGGCGTGACTGCTGTCTCGCAGCCTGCCTTTAGCACGTGTGGTGTTTCGTCTGTTTCATGAGAGTGCTGCTGCCGCCGCCGCCGCCGCTGTCGTTTGTCGGCCACAACAGGCGCCCTGCGTTGCCGTTGAAGACAGGGCAATCGCGGCGGCATCGATCAGGGATGGGAGGCCGCCCAATGAGAGGCTTACCCTGGCCATGTCGGAAGTCCGTCAAAGCCGCACAGATGTGAGTGGGCAGCGGCTGGAGCGCCACGCTGATGACTCGTTCAACTTGTTGGTCGCCTTCCCAAAATACTTCGGAGTAGAAAGCTCTCGTTGAAGTAATTGATGAAAGGTGTCGTGGTTGGCGTTAGTTGTGGTGTGTGAATTGTTATTGTGTCAATCCTTGGCTGGTCGTGCCCCGCGACATAGTCGTCGTTGTCGTCGCCTGCGGCGGCCTGTGTACCGACGGGGTAGCGGCACACCGCAGGCGTGGCCTAAGACAAGCGTCTCATCAAACGGGGGCAGCAGACTTGTGATCGTCCATCTTGTTCACCGCCCCAGTCCTTGTTGACAAAACATCAATCGAGGGGTAATGTTGACCATAGTACTCCCGATCCATACCAACCGACAGGGACTGAAAGAGTGTTTCTTCGGAGACAACACTCTCCCGGAGCCACTATCAGACCTTCTCTGGGAGGGTCCGGAAGAGTGTGCCCTTGATGAGGCTGGCCGCATGATCGTGTCAACGCCGTCGTGGAAGTCCCCGCTCGCTGGTAGCGGCAACCCCCCCACCGCCGCTCCCTCCGCATCGACATCATCAGCGTCCCCGCCCTCAGGAATGACTCGGAAGCCTTCCGTTACGGCGGCGGCGGCTGCTGTGGTGACGAACCCTTTCGCGGGAGGGCCTTCTCGCAAGAAGGCTAGTGCCGCTGGCGGCGGCGGCGGTGGTGGTGTTGGAGGCGTAGCCGCTACCGCGGCCACGGGGCGGAGGAACCCGTTCGATCCAGTCGTGGCGGCGGCGCCCGCAAGAAAAGCTGCGGCCGTACCAGCAGCAGCAGCAGGGAAGCAGCAGGCAGCGTCGTCTTCGAACCCCTTCGCAGCAGCAGCAGCAGCAGCAGCAGCAGCAGCAGCCCCCGCTGAGGTAGTTGCGAAAGCAACAGCCGTGCCCGAACAGCCCGCTATTACCAAGCCCGAGAAGACTTCCGGTCAGCAAGACGCGATACCGACGTCGCGCAAGGCCAAGGAGGGGGGCGAGGGCCGGCCTCCGATGCCCACGGCCAGCGGGCAACCGGCAGCGGTTTCTGACCGTCCTGCCGGCGGAGAGGAGCGGGGCTACGGCGAGACGTTGTTGGCGACGGTTACGCTGCCTTCGCACGGCGGGGATGGTGACCGTTCATCCCCGCCCATCCTCGCTGGGCCCGACAGCAGTGCCGATGTGGCAACGACAGGCCCCCCCGCAAAGGATAGAATAATGGAGGGCTCTGCGGAGGACAGAATAAACAAGACGGGGACGGCCTTTTCCAGCTCTGGTGCTCGGAGGAACCCCGGGGCGGCGTTTTCCTTCGAAGCGGGCGTGTTCCGAGACGCCGGTGTTATGTTCGGGGCGCATGTCGGCGGGAAGTCTTACCGGCTCGGCAGGCAGAGGGTCGAGGTGGTGCTGCGAGAGCCCGGGGGCCTGAGGCTGGGTATCTGGCGCCCCCCGGTGGACGAGAGGGAGGAGCGGGAGCGGGAGAAGGACAAGGGCAAGGCGGCCTCCGAGCTGGTGTCGGAGCACCTGTCGCTTTCAGAGGACGGGTGAGGGGTGTTTAAGGCTTGCCTCGTATACGTTACGTTTGCTGCTGTCTCGTCCGCTGGTGGTTGCGCTGCCGCACCAGCTATTCCTGGTGTCCGCTAAGCTAAGCGTTTTTTTTTTCTTGTCTTTGCCAGCCCAGGAGCTTACCGTTACCGTGAACTTGCCGTCCATACTATACGGCCGTCTCCTCCTGTTTTGTGTTGGGATAGCAGGACGTTGAATTGGGGAGTTGTCAAGACAAGCTACTCTGTGGAATTGAGCGGACCACGTGATGAACGGAAACGGTGTGGTTCGACCACGATTTTTGTCATGTAAATGATACCAACGGTTTACTTAGTGGAATTTGTTGAGGTTAAGCATTGTCAATATTTGTACCGGATCTGCATCGCAGAGTGCAGAGTGCAGTAGCGGTGCAACGGCGGTGCACTCCATCCATGGTCGGGACCAGCCGCTAAACGAGCAGTGGTCACGTGGCGTGAATGTCAAAGCGTTGGTAGTCCTGACTCTTGTACTCTTTGGTGTGGACGACAACTCATGCGTGGCAGCACGCCAGCCATTCCCTCAAGCTCTGCAGTCGAACGTCACCAGGACCGCGCACTACAGTAGTTCCCTACTGCAGCACGCTTTTCCTATGACCACGCCTTCTCTTCTCCCACGCCGAACCAAATGCTTGCAGCAACCACGAGTTTAACGTCTTTCTGTCCGGCGCGAACGAGAACGACGGCGGCGATGACGTTGGCGGTACCGAGGACACCGGCAGTGGTAAGAGGGCCGACGGCATCGTCGAAGGGGGGCGCACAGATGGCAGCCCACGAAGAGGTAGCAGCACTGCTGGACTTGCCAGCCCTACCTTGGAACCCGACGCCAGACGAAGCCCTACCAGAAAGAGCCCCGCTCCCTCCCCTCGCGGAAGAGACGTGAGCAGGCTGTTGACGGAGCGTCCGGCGGTGGTGGAGGAAGTCCTGCACGAAGACGTTGTCTCCGGCTTCAACTGCTCGGGATCGAACCAGGGCTTCGGCGTGGTGGGGTGCGTGGTGGCGTCGATCTCGAGGGAGCCTTTTCAGGACACGGAAGTGTCTCCAAAGGTGGGATAGAAAGCGAACGAATAAATACAGCAGTCCCCCGGTTAAGGACGTACTTTTTTTTTTTTTGTCACAGGCATGATGCCCCGCGGAAAGTTAAACGCGAGGAGTGGTATCAATGTTAAGGACCCCTTTGTACCCTGCTTGAAAGGACATCTGTTTGAACGAATAACCGGGTGTGTCGTTAAGCGAGGGACGACTGAAATGGCGTACTGTAGTAGTTGGTGGTGGCGTTGCGCGATTCTGGTTATTGTTGTTGTTCGTCTTGTTTGTGCTGGTGCTGGCAGGTGGTAGTTGTCCCATCACGATGGCTTGCTTGTGTTGTCGAAATTGATACCACGCTTTGCGGTACCGACTGATGCCTCGAGTCGACTGTTTTCGTTCTTGAAAGTATCCTTACATAACATTGTCGAGAGCAAGTTCACATCCAAAACTTCGAGCGTGCTCGCATGGCTCGAAGTACGCGCCAGCATCCCTGCAGCTTGCGCATGCTGCGGCGGGTGCGCCAGGCAGTCTTGACCAAGTCGGTGAGTGTTCCATCGCAAGTATATGTCGTGGGACGATGCCAAGTTATCGTGGGAATGTTGCCCGAAGAGTTGTGCGTGCTTCCTTTAGTACCCTAGGACAGCAACACGGAACAGAGCCCTAATGTCCACTTGCTGCAAGCTGAAGCGTCTCATGTGGCACATAGAACTCTCGTCGTTTCTGAGGCCTGTTTTTTTGGGCAACCGTGTGATGTGCTGCCAAGGAGCACTCCGGAAGAGCAGCGTTCGGCATCGTCCCCGTCCCCTCCTCGACATTGTCAACTTTGATCTGCGTAGGAAGGTCGTCCAAGGGGATCAGGGGTATGGGTACGCGTCGTAAACCATACTGCCTCGTGGATTCATGTCCCGGAACCCCTGATCATATCTGCGACTGCCTTTTCTTCGTGCATGAACGACGCGGAGAAATGATTGGTTTTCTTTTGGGGATGGAAAAAAAAATATATATATATATATGTATATCTCGAAGTATTCCTCGTGCGATTTCTCCGTTTCCTGTGAAAGATGGACCTGGTTCTTGCTCCCGTACCCTGTTCGCGTGCACGCCTGTTTTGTTTTGCTTCGGCCTGTGACCATGAGCGTGCTGTGTTTCCCTGTCTTGTTTGTTTGGACCTGTAACCGTAAAGCGTCCCGTACCTCCCTGTCTCTTTTGCTTTGACCTGTGACCGTAAGCGTCACGTGTTGCCCTGTCCCTTTTATGTTTTAACCACAAGATGTTGAGCTTCGAAGAGGCGCGGACCGCCCTGGCGTCTTCTGAGTACCCTCTGTTCGTGCAGTTCTGCCGCCCGCCCCTGGTGTTCAGCACCGAGCCCGAGTACCCTGCGGTGAAGCTTCTGTCTAACCTCGTCTTGACCAACCGTGCCATGGAGAAGGTCGATGGGGAGTTCAGGTATGGCCTGTCTGATACATCACCACCGCCACTGTTGTATATTATAGCCACACTGCTGTAGCCACCTTCCATGTTTTTTGGGGGGGAGGGTTAGTCTGTGTTGTCTTTGTGTCAGAGTGTGTTGATATAGTCTTTGCAGTTCACCTGCAGTTTCTATGGATTTTCTTGAAGCTTCGTGTGTAAGACCACTGTTTATGGCAAAAAAATCTTGATCTTCCTTTCTTTCGACAAATGTTGAATTTTTCGACCTTTTGGGCAGTCTGCCTCCCGAACGAGTGCGAATCAGTTGTTCGACCTTTGAGAACAGTCACAGCTTTGGCTGAGATGTCTACAGATCGCCTACATGTTCCGCCAGGGTCCACGTTTGTTTTTTTCAAGGTTTACAATTTTCACGCAAGATTTTTCCAAAACCAGCTTTTGGACAGATCTTGGCCCAAGATTTGCTCCGAGGTGGCCTTTCGGCCGAATCTTCAACATCTTGCTCTGCTGGAAAAAAATCAAATGTGAACCCTGGCGAAACATGTAGGCGATCTGTAGACATCTCAGCCAAAGCTGTGACTGTTCTCAAAGGTCGAACAGCTGATTCGCACTCGTTCGGGAGGCAGACTGCCCAAAAGGTCGAAAAATTCAACATTTGTCGAAAGAGAGGAAGATCAAGATTTTTTTGCCATAAACAGTGGTCTAAGACAATATGCCATTGCCGTTCGACAGCCGTACACGTATCCGTGTCCGGTCCGGGCCATAGAGAAAGAAAATACAGATCGGGTGATGACTGCTCGCAGCAGCAGTCATGATTACCGTAAGGTATGGAAGCATTCCAAGGGAATTTTACTCCGGTTATGTTGTGCGCCCTTGTCCAGCCAATCGCAACGCTGCAGGTCCGGGAATGCCACCGTCTTAGCCGAGACCGTTTTTACTGTTTTTCATGTCGATGATGCAGATTATCTCGAGCATTGGACGTTGCTGCTCTTCTTCAAAGTCACCACGGTGTCTATCCGCTGTATGATGAAAACAATCCAGCCCGTCCTGACCGTTTTATGTGTTTTTGTTGCTATTGTGTGTGTTTTCTGTCGTGGCCTTGTCCTTTGCTTTCTCTCTCGTGTTGTTGTTGTCATCACATTAACAACCGTTCCGATCTCTCTTCATATGCACCTTCAGCTGTCCGTACTGATCCATCACTTGACGCGGTCGATTCCCGTGGTCACAGGCTACCGTGTCTCTCGTGTTGGTTCATGTATTTCATCCGATGCCCCTGTGCGTGGTGTTACGTGCGTGCTGCAGGTGTGGGACCTTAATCTCCGAAGACGGGAGCTCTCGCTGGCTGCTCTCAACAACAGCCGTCCCTGCCTCCATACCAGACCTGGGCACCAAGATGGAAGTAAACCTGTTGGACTATCACGTGGTCGGCTTGTACCTTCTGACGTCAGAGGAGGTGCGTCGCTACAGCACTGTTGTTCTCGCGATTGGCTGGCGTTTGGTTGTGTGTCCAGATACCGTAGGTTGCATAAGATACCACACCCTACAGGACCGGTTTTCAAAGCTTGTGTACTTTTGAGCGAAAACAATGGCTCTGCCGAACGTGACGGTGGTTGGAGCCGTCTCATCGACAGCTTGCCGAAAATGTGTAACTTGATCTTAAGATTATCTCTCGTCGTGAAGAAATCGAGCTTTGAGAATCGGTACAGGGGGTGTGATATCTTACGTTATGTCACCGACGGTAGATCCTAACCTCTAATTTTCGACCGGGGGGCGTGCAGCCGTATTGGTGATAAGACTGCGTGTCGATGGGATGATCAGCCCACCCAGCCGCGGGCCCGCTTGCGGGACGGCATCATCCACCACGCCGTACGTACATTTTTGATGTCTCATATTCCCGCACCGTTGTATGTATCTAACAACCTACATATCGGCGGGCTGTTTCGACGTGTTGGGACCCGCCAGGCAATGTCCCTACTGAGAGACCACCCTAGCCAGGATGTTCTCCTGTTCGTGCACGGCTTCAACACCACGTTCAACTACGGGATCCGAGCCAGTGCCGTGAAGGGGCGCGCTCTGAGAAAGCCGCTGACGGTGTGCCTGGCGTGGCCGTCGAACCCCCCCGGGGAGGGTGCGGGGTGGCTCATCAAGCGGGTGCGTTGCCGTTGTTGTTGTTGTTTGTTGTTGTTGTTGTTGTCGTTGTTGTTGTTTATTGTTGTTGTTTGGAGATAGCGGCAGCCAGTAGAGTTAGGGGTGCTGCTGCTGTCTTAGAAGATTTTCGATGCCGATACGCTGGTTCTGTGCCCGTTCCCTGATGACAAATTTGGTGCGAGCAACACAAGTGAGATGATGCAAGGAAAATGTCGCAGTACCATGTTTTGTCTGGTATCAAACTCGTTGTGTACTCTAGACAACACAGTACCATGTTTCGTCTGGTATCGAACTCGTTATGTACTCTAGACAACTTGTCTGCGCTACAGCAGCTGCATCTCCCCCACCACGATCGTTGTCTCAGTGGTGCCATCTGATGGTGGATCTCTCGTCATGTCGCTGTTCGATACCTGTGTGGTCGTCGACCCTCTCAGGTGATGTCGACCTATGAGAGGAGGTACACGTATTGCGAACACAACATGCATGCATCCATCTTCCTCTTCCTACAGGTGAGTTGAGAGCTGGATATCTCGTCCACATCTGCAGGGTAGGATGAAAGGGAAACAACAATTGAACGAGATGTCATGCTTGGTGACGAAGTCTCGTTCGTGCTTTTGGACCGCTACGTACGTGGTAGACGAGGATTGTTTCTACATCCACCCAATTTGGCGGAGCAATAACTGCTACAACGCTCCGGAGCTTCCTCTTTGCTTGTTTCTCGGTGACGTGTATTTATTGTTTGATTGTGTGGCCGAAAATTACGTCCTACCTGTGCGTGTAGCCTAGAATACGGTAAACAACCGCAAGCAAGAGCGGGGAGCAACAAACAAAGAAACCCTGTGTGGTGTTACCCTGGCTGACGCGTCCGCAGCACAATTCCAAAGGTAGAAAGGATGAGCAACTGAAGTCCAACATTATGGGGCGACAAAAGCAAACCGCTGACGGCAACAACGGGCGGCAATCGGAAGCTACGGCGTCATGCTGGTTGTCTCGCAGCTCGGCCTTAAGGTGTTTGCCGCGTGGTGCGTGCTTTGTGTTCACACGTTGGCCTCTTCGCCACAGCAACAGCAGTCGTGCCCGCCGTTGGTTCTGGACTCTATTTTACTGTTTCTTTTAACGCCTCTATCGCTGCGTTTGTCAAGGCCGAGGGATCATGCCGTACTACTCATTGTATATCTCCGCAACGCTTGTCTACCGGCACCAGGCGGCCTTGGAGGTGAAAGCGGCCGCAGATGCCTCGGGCAAGTTGATGTGCTGGAAGGGCCACTCGATGGGGTGCTACTTGCTTCTTAACGTTGTGGACAGGCTGCGTTGGAAGGGCGAGGACATGCAGGCTCTATTCAGGGAGGTCATCCTTGATGCCCCCGACGTGCCCACCTGGTTCTTCAGATCAATGGTCAAGGTACATGGTAGAGCCCTCGTCGCGTCACATGTGTTGCTCAGTGCAGCGGTGGCCGGTATTAGAGACTCCTTGAAGGCTGTATGGTAAGCTTTAGGCCGCTAGCACGGGAAGCGACCCTATTTCACGGGCACTGTTTAGCTTTCGCAGGACAATAAGGCCACCCCAAATAATGATGGCTTTCAGCCATAGTCATCTCCAACCAGCTTCTACGACCACGTCTAGTCCTGTCCTCTACATCATGATGTACCAGCAGCTAGGCGTAGATGGCTTTGTTCGGCACTGCTCTACCTGCACCAAGCGTGTCTTGTCGTGCCCGTTCTGTCACCTTTTTCACTTGAAGGTGCTTGCGGAGAACGGGGTGAACGTGGTGCACTACTTCAACCCGTTGGACAACGCCATCCAGGCCTCTTGCCACAGAAGGGCGTTGCAGAGACCAGTGCCTGGACAGGATGCTATCGTGACCCACCCGATCGTACAGGGTGTGCTTTGCGACAAGAGCTACAGGCAAGCACTTAAGCATGCATGCATGCGCCATCGTGGCCAGTTAGTGGTAACCCCCTCTCGTGTGTAGATAGGTGGTGTATATTAAAGATATGTCCACCATCGTTCTGCACTCGCACCAACACACGACTTGGAAGCCTGATACGGTTCTCTGTCGCGAAACTTGTCCTTGTGTGATCACGTCGCGACTGCACGCCGATGGGCATCACACTGACTCCCTTGATGCCTCTTTCGCGATCGCCCAGAGCTGTACTGCGGCAACCACCCTCTCTCTTGGTACCCACGCATTCATTCGCAGTTTGATCTTTTTGCTTTCTGCCAGCAGACACGTGGGTGGGACGTTATTTTTCCCTCGAAACTGCCAATTAGCTATTTTTTACGTGTAAACCTACATACTGATAGCCTTGACCCGAGGTCGACGTTTCTTGGACTGCGCCCCCCCTACTGCTGCTGTACTCGTGTGCAGCTCAACGGGTATGAATCACGACTACGGTCGAGCGGATGGGCGTTGTTTGTTAGACCAGAGGGACTTCTTGGCAGGGGAGCCGCCGGATCAGCGGGTGCTCGAAGAGACCGTGACCAGCGAAGGTGCCGCATGTTGGCAGCTCAAGACATGGTAACACAACCCGTGTTTGTGTTGCTTGCATGCGGATGGTGAGGCGAAAGTGCATAATTGTTCGTGCTGTCGTGGTGTTGGACGGGACAGACGTGGGGCTGGGGGTAAACGTTACGTGGTTGATGAGTACGGGGCGGACAAATCGACAAACCAAGTACATTCGTGTGCCAAGAACATAAGTTGTATGACTCCCTTTCACTTGGTGCAAGTGTCTTGAGGCACGTTCGCCTATGAGGTATTGTACGTCTGCATGCGTTGATGCCGCGTGCGGACGGCCCGAGAAAATACGCTCGTGGCAACAAAACGTTTGTTGCTGTACTTGCGCCGCTCCCTTTCATGCGACCATGATGGCCTAGGCGCTTAGGCACGGCAAACGGTTGTTGGTAGCTCAAAACCATGGGTGTTTCTGTTTTCTTCCGCGAGTGAGCGGAGTAGCGTTCTACATGTACAGCAGTTTGGTGCGACGCCCGACGGTTGATGCGTGAAGCTGACGTATGCAATGCGCGGGGTCAGAAGAGAAACCTGGATTGTGTGACACGTTTTTTTTTTTTTTTGTGACCCCGTGTAATCGTATCTGCGATAAGACGAGAGTTTACTCGCGTGGTGAGTGGTGAGTTCACACAAGTGGCCACGGTGCTTGCTCTTGTGAAAGGATCGCGTTTTGGTGAGGGCATGATTTGGCGAGAATATGTGCCGTCCGTATTCCGTGTGTGCGTTCTGTAGTTGATTGCACCCCTGCTGCATGTATATATTCTCTACAAGTGCAACTGCTTGTAGTGTACAACTTTGTAGCCGTGCTTCGAAGCCTTGTGGGGTCCGGGGCATACGAAAACAGAGCAAGCCCTATAGATCCTGCTGTGTGTTTGCTCCTTCATCACTTGGGATCTAAACCGTGCGTTTCTGGTGTTTGTTTAAGGACCTTCAGTACAGGTTCCTGTAGAGAGAACCATACGTACCTAGGGTGTGATGATGATTCCTGTATGTGTGTGCGCAATTCCAACCATCGCAAGGGTTAGTTAAGCCAGTCGTTTTAGTTGAGCTACTCGAATTAAGTATGCTGGAGCGTGTCTGCTTCAACTCTTGTGTTCATACAAGTTTGCGACACCTCCCGTTTCTTCTGCCGACAATGTGAGCAAGTACTCGTCTGGTGTTTCTAATCTTCTCAAGCTCTCCTCCTAGCGTAAAGGTCGATGTTGATGTTTTCCAAATCTACTCTCTTCTTGAAAGAACATCGACTAGTTGGCGGGTATGTTCTACTCTACCAGCGGGGCATTGTTCACTTCACCAGTGGACCATTATACATTGTGGTTGGCCACACATCTCAACTCTTGCGACAAGAATTGAAGGAGATCACCGAAGGACTACAACTAACTGCATGCTTGGCTAGAACTAGAAATGGAAACACACTCCAAGTTCCGGAAGGCGCAATCAGCAGGCGTGCAGGATACCGTGTCATGCATGCCAAATTGTTGTTTTCATCACATTGAAGTTCGACAGGCTGTCTGCTCACAGACAGACAGATATCTTCCATGGGTAGCGAAACCGGAGAACCTGACCCGCTCACAGAACCCCAACTTTGAGCATGCAATTTCAAATTCAGGATGTACCCATCGTAGACGAGAGCACTAGTCGTGTGCGGGTCACGTGTTTCTTCAATAAGCTTTCGCGTACAACAATCCCTGCGACGGCAAGGTAGTGCCAGCCTCCCGGCCCTGTGTCATTGCTGTCTCGCACCACCTTGAGATATGTAGTCCACCGCTACATCAGTATAAATAGCGACATGTAGGGTGCGTTCGAATTTTACTTATGGTGTGGGCTGGGTGGTCAGGAAAAGTTGTAATTCTGCGGCTGCAGCACATGGAACAGCTCCCACGGCGGTGGTCCCGTGGAGACGTCGTCTACGTGAGCAAGTAATCTACTGCTGTAGACAATGTAGTCTACCACAATGTACCCCCAGCATCAAGCAGCATCACGCTCGACGTCCCTCGCCGATCAATGACGAACAGAGCAACCTTTTGGGTTCTCTGGAGACGTCTACATACAGGTCGCCCGGTGGTCTAGTGGGTAGCCTCGTAGCCTGCTAAGGGCCAGGTCATGGGTTCGATTCCGACAGAGTGAGTTTTTTCTCGTTAATTAAGTCCTGGTCTCCGTTGTTGGATGCGACGCGCTGCAAAGCTCGTTGCTAGTTAACTTGATCGACATATAAGTCGCAAGGGAAGGGATTGCTGTACCCTTCTCGCGATAAAAACATTTCAGGCAGGAACCGCAGGAGGGGGTTCAACCCCCCCCTCCTATGTGACCCCGGTTGGGTCGTCTAGCTGGTAGAATTGGAGGATAGGGGCCAGAGGGGCAGACGACAGAAATAATCCAATGATGGGAGAAAAACAAAACGACGGAATACAGCATTGCGTGAACACGTTACTCGCTTTTGCTGTTCCTTTTGTTTTTGTACATCTGGCTGTCTGCCCATCTGCCACCTCTTTTTCCTGTTTGCTCCGTTACTCCCATGCCGTGGCGCGTAGTGCCTGTTGCTGGTACGTTACCCTTTGTCTTTTTCTTTGGGCGGGTGTGGGAAGCGCCCTCCCTTATTTTGTTTTGGTTTTATTTTGATCGGGGTCCGAGTGCTGTTATTTTCTTTATAATCATTTTGTTTTCTTTTTCCGAGTGGTTTGTACCCTATATTGTTTTGTTTCCCCGCGGCGTCGTTTGTGCCTGGTTTTGAGACCACGGGCTTCCCATTTTTTGTGGACTATAGAGCAAATGTGAGAAACAACAACAGCAACAACAACGTTGCCCCCACCCTCTTGTCTTTCCTATATGAACACATGTCGCCCAAGAGTATCACGACACCGCATCATGTCATCATGGGTGAGTGCAAAAAAATTAGAAGTAAGGAAGAAAATTTCCCGAGATCACCCGTGTCAGATGTTTCCGGAAACGTTCTACGCGCAAAAATAACCCCGAGCAACGTCAAAGTCTCCGGAGACACGCGAAACAAGCTGGGTGCGAACATACAAGAAAAGAACGGTCCGCGAACATTACGCGCAGATGCGCAGGAATTCACACGCTCTCTGCTCTCTCATCTCTTTCGCCGAGCGCATTCCACGAACACCCCAACTCGTGTTTCGCCCTACCCCAACGGCCGTCGCATAAATATCGACAGTGCTCGACGCTCTTCCTCCCTGCCCTCAGCTGCAACGTTTGTGTGCACGGCGCGCCAGAGTGATCTCTCTCGCGCGCTTGATTTGCTTCCTTTCGCCCCTTTTGGATATATTTCGGGGTCGAGTTCAGTTCATCAGCGGCTAAAACGTGGTCAGGCGCCACAACACACCCGCTGCTGTGCAATAGGATGGGTCCCTCTGCCGCTGGACGAGGCAAGCCAAGGCCGCTGCTTGCGGGGGTCTTCCGCAAGGCGTGCGACTACTGTGTGAGGTGAGCACCCGACCCGGCATGTTTGTTGTTTCCTTGAGCCCTATACGTGCGCGTTGCTTCATTCGGCCCGAACTAAATGTTGGTTGGATTTACCACATGTCACGAAGGAGAAGGTGCGCTGCTGCTGTGCTGTAAGCGCCAGCAGTAGTCGCCCAGTCCGCTCTCCTCTCCCCTGTGATCGGCGGCTGAGCTGCTGGTTCTCTGGTCTCGCTAGCTAGGCACAAAGCAGTGCCAGCTCGGGTGTAGAGCGCTGCTTGCCCCTCCTCCTGCCTCTCCAAAAACTTTTTTTCTCGTGACACAAAAAGAGACTCAACGACTACTTGCTGCTTCGGGCTGAAAAAAATACACGTTGATCTCTCCCTGGTACACACGCTCTTTCGCTTCTCACACAACAGCAGCAACATGGCAGCCTCCTCCGCTCTCTTTCTTCCCCTCTTCTCCCTGTCACCATGTCGCTGTCAACACCATTTTTTCAGGAGCAAGCGCGGCTGCAACGGCGGCACCCCCTGCGAGCAATGCGTCCGGCGAGGGCAGGGTTGCACCTATTCCCAGCGGCGCAAGTCAGGCCCTCGCGGTCGGCCGCTCCGCCCACAGCAGCAACAGCAAGCAATCTCCGCCCGCGCGCTCCCGAGCCCAGCGGTGGTGGTTGGCAACAGAACCTCCGCGAGACGGCACATGAAGAGGGTGGCGTCTTCGTTCTTCGGCCGCGACAGGGAGGAGGAGGAGGACGGGGACGAGGAGGAGGACGTGGAGGCCTCGGCGGCGGCTGTCTCCCCTTCCCGCACCGTATCCGTTTCCTCCTCGTCCTCCGGCAGCGATGGCGGAGGCTCCTCCTCGAGCAGCAGCAGCAGCAGCAGCAGCAGCAGCAGCAGCAGCAGCAGCAGCAGTAGCAGCTCGGTTTGCTCTTCCCTGGATGACGAGGACCGCAGCAGGGAGGCCGCGGCCTTGTCGGAAGAGGACGGGGAGGCCGGCGACGATGAGCAGCCGCGGCGACAAAGGAACAAGAGGACCAAGATCTCCATCGGCGGCGGCGAGCCGCAGCAGCGATGTGCCACCTCCCGGCAGGGCCCGGTTCCGGTGTCGCCGATCTCCAGCCACGGGGGTGACGACCACGCCGCCGAGGACATAAACAACTCGCCCACGGCGGCGGAGGCGGAGGCGGTGGTGCAACCACTCCCTGTCCTCTCGTCGTCCTTATCGTCTTCATCCTCTTCTTCGTGTAGTTCGTTCTTGAAAGAGTCACCGTCTTCTTCCCCCTTGATCGATGAGACGTTGCCGCCGCCCCGACAACACTCCCCGCTCACCGTCGGCGCGCTACCGCCGCCGCCGCCGCCCTCCGCTACGTTTCTAATCAAGCGGTCGAGCGGCCTTCCCGGCTGGGCCCGGGAGGCGTCTACGGATGCCCAGCAGCAGCTACACCGCTCGAGCGCAGGGGAAGCAGTGCCAGTGTTCAGCAGCAGCACCGCCGGGGGGCGTCACGAGGTAGTAAGCATGCGGCCTTGGGAGGTTTCGTCGTCGTCGGCGGCGGCATCGGGGGAAGGTGATCGGCCTCGCTCGGTGACGCTCGTAAACATGGCGACGGAGCGGCAGCAGCAGCAGCAGCAGGCACGGGCCCACCAGGCTCCCGCATTCGCAGTACTAAGGAGCGGTAGCGGCAGCAGCAGCAGCAGCAGCAGCAGCAACAGCAACAATGACACAGTGTTCGCGTCCAGCCACTCGGCGCAGCAGTCGCTGCCGTCCGTCTGCGACGACCCGATGGACGTTTCTTCGGCTCAGCAGGGGGTAGCGGCGGCCGCGCGCACCACGCTCGCGGCATCGATGATATTGGACGGGGGAGCGGAGTTCATGAAGGACGTGGAGGACGATGACGACCTGGAGTGCTGCCCGTGGCATATCCCTTCTCTCACGCGCGAGATGTCTCTGGCGAGGGTCGTGGCGGGGCTAGGTGGGGAGCAGCTCGCCTCTTCTCAGCATCACGTCGGCTTCGAAGGCAGCTTTGCCACTGCCGGTTGGTGATTGGTTCATATATATATATATTTCCTTTGAAGCCGTGTGTTTTTTTAGTGCTTTTATCTCGAGGGAGAAAGTGCAGTGGAGTCCACAAACATGATGATACTGCCTACAGTTGTCTACATGTAGTGTTATGTTTTTTTTATGTATGCGTACATAAAATGATGGGGCAGCGCATGTCGTTGCGCGTGTTGGCGTTCCTTCCCTTTTTCCCGGTGTTGCTCGTTCCCATCCGTGTATCAATATTGTTCGACGGGTGTCCGACGTGTAATCTGTCGGTATGTGCAGCATGTGCGAGACTTCACCTAGGCCGGCACTGCAATTGATAGCTGCTGCACGAACACTCATTCGTCTCCCCATTGTCTCGCGTACTTACTGCTGTACACGCAGTGTTTTGATCAAGAAGTCTGTCTCGGATTGTGTTGGTTCCTGCTACCCTTTTTGCGCCTTGGCTTAGCTCTACCAAGTTTAGCGTCCCTTCTCAAAACCGTCCTGAGTGTTCTTGTCGATACGTTAGGGTGCGGTGATGGGTGTTGCATGCGAATCACTTTGTGTTGGTCTTGTGAGCTACGACAATATGTACTTAGCTTAGAGAGGGCGAGGAAGAGAGAGCAAGCAGCCCGTCCGACCGTGTGCTGCACTCACTGTTCCCACCACATGAACACATGCCTGAAACGAAAGTGATGTTTATCGGAATAGTCTTTCGCTTTCGTTGGGCGATTGTTGCGTTGCCTCATGCCTGTGCTGCTGTTGTCTGCTAGATGAAAGAAATATATTGTGGTGTGTTTTTTTTTACTTTAGAATAGTTGTGTTTTGTTTGTCGGGTGGGAGACTCCTCATCTATGGGAGAGAAAAGTTTGGTGCATGTTATTTATTGTTTTTCCATTTTGGACAATCCACTACCAGGAAGGCTTGAGCATGCTGCTCGGGTGAGAGTGCACGCCTGAAAACACGTTGCGAAGGGTGGGGAAGGTTGATAGGGAGGGGGCGAGTTTTCTCGCCCTCTCACTTGACGTGACCTGTGGAGTGCAAAGATGCGAGCAGCATGTAAGATAAAGTTACACCATTAGACAAGTCAGCGCTGACTTGTCTAATGGTGTAACCTTATCTTACACAGCAAGTTTCGACAGATCGAACACGGGTATCGGTCTGAGTGGCCACGTGTAGCGCTTTTCGTCAACGACGGCCACGCCTGAGGCTTTGCCGTGTCCGTCGGATGTACCAATTCAACTACTGGTTTGTCTCTGGAAGAAAAAAACAAGTGCCGATTATCTACCGTTGTTGCTCAAAGGGCAGCTAGCTGTGCTTTCTGCCGAAAACGCGAGAGCCCGAGAGATGGCATTGCTGACGGCTGTCCTGCCTTACACCCAATTGTCTCGTTTGTTTTGGTGCGGGGGTGACACGAACTCGTTTCGCCAGGCGCTTTTTCTGAGGAAATATTGTGCACCCCTACACATGTGACATGCTTCTAAGCAAAGCACCAATGCCCAAGGCAGGACCCTGTTTCTGTAACAACTCTCTCTCAGGGCCTCGTAATTAAAGCTCACGAAGGTGATAGGGCCATCGGAGAGATCGAGCTTTCCGTAGCGGCAGGAGTCAGCCGTACGATGTGCTGCTTGGTGTTCAGGCACCGCAAAATCGAGGAAACTGGTACGAAAACAAAAAACTATTTAGCTTACCTCGCGTTCGTTCTGGTGTTGCCACCGTGCGACATCCAAAAGGATGGCTGGAAAAAACAGGGGTGGAATTGCTTCTCTCGCCCTCGGTTGTTTGGGGTGGTTGCCGAGTCGGGCAAGCGTTTGGCCAAAGGAACGATCGATCACGATCACGATAGTGTAGGGCAAAAAAAAACTCCAAATACCACGAAATACGTTTCTCAATGCATGAGTATCTCGGGTGGCGACCCGGCGATGCGTGATGAATGACGGCCCTGTCTGGAGCGTGGGTGACTCGCTGGCATTTCTTGCGGCAGAGGGTCCTCCTTGTTATTGATAACGTGAGCTGCACAACATGTTCCCAACGCATGGACGCCCTGCGATCATCACTTTTTGTGGGTGGTGGCTGCTGTAATCGGTTTTCAACGCTTTTTCTCGAACCAAGCGACTTCCAACACCGAGGGACGTTCTCGAGATTTCTCTGTTTGATTGTCGAGGAGATGGTTCGAGGCGTAGCCCCCCCCCCCCCCCCCCCCCCCCCCCCCCCCCCCCCCCCCCCCCCCCCCCCCCCCCCCCCCCCCCCCC